ACCAGATTTGAAGCACATAGCAGTGACAGCTGAGGATAAAACATTTCCGCCTGGAGTCAACTCTGATGCACTAGCCTCATGGGATGTGACATCAGCCTGCATCACCCTAACAATCCCAAGTAGTAGTCACAACTTGTCTCGACACTTTGTTTCAGTTCAGCCTGAGCCCGTCTTACAATTGTCTTGGTTGATAGGGAGTGGTGTCACGTCTAATTCCAAATCGTCAAAAATCAGCTCCAGTGCGCTCAACTAGGTTCGGGAGATAAATGTTGGGGCTATTTTGGATCATTCTTGAACGGTACATATCGGTGGCGCACGGTAAATACTGTAAACACGTAATGACGTATGACTGTTCATGGCACCGGCTCTAGAGCGCAGAGTTGCAGACTTATGCGCTATTGTGCATGACATGACAGGACAGCTAAAACATGCTAAAACAGCGGATCATTTCCAACCCTTCTCCCACGACAGCTTCATGCAGTTGCTGCCATTTTTTTCTCTATCCTTTCTGCATCCTGGTTCCTTGAGTCTCACTGATGTGACTGAGTAACTGCTAGTACATGCTATATAGTATAATTAGTATATAAATCTATCTAACAATTCATTATGCTGGTTTCTTACTTTATCATAATTAATTACTTCCTTCTTCCTGATGTCCAACCGAGCTTCCTAAGAAGGACCACAGCGACGTAACTGAGATGGTCCAACTGTAAGATTTCCTGACTTTCTGGTTGTCATTTTCTTATGAATGTCACCGTGCATCGGCCAATGGCATGCCCCAGGGAGTGGGTCGGAGTGGGGTGCAACTGATGAAAACTTGTCCATGCCTGATGCGTTTTACTCTGAACATGGCATCCTAGATATTCCTAGATCACAGGTCGGGGCTGGCCTTCGTGTGAGCGCCCGAGGCTCTCAAAACATCCTGGAAAGAAACCGAAAGCAGAATCTCTTTCGGGCTGCCAGGTCAGTGTGCAGCAGAGCCCTCCCCTCCGCGGAGTGGACCATCGTTTTTTCTCTGAACGCCGCGCTATTCTTCTTGCAAGCTGAATTCTGCCAAGATGCGGCCTTGGATCATTTTTGCGCCATGCATTGAGAAGACTCGAAACTACATTCCGATGCGAAAGGTGCTGAATCTCATGGTGCGTCACCAAGTCAACATCTTATCTCTGACTGGGATTGCCTAGTTGGGGTCGGTGCACCTGCTTCCTGGAAAATGATCCATATGCGCGGGCATCTCAGAGAGAAAGAATTCTCAGCGATAAAGCAAACAGGTGCTGCCATCTCCATGGTCAGTGAGAAAGGTGCTGTAGTTGCTGACATAGTATCGTACTTCGCTGCCAACCACAACATGCGGACAGAACGATTGCAGACACAGCATCGCGTTCCGATATTTCTGCAAACCACCATGCTCTTTGGCAATGTGTTCCAGTAGACTCGCACGATCCTCAAGGCCAGCGTCGCAAAGATGACATGGTTGACGAGGCATGACCACTGCCTCCATCGGCCAGACCCGCAACACTTCAGTCTCCCGTGTGCGGTGCAGTGCATGATTCTCTTTGAATCTGAGGAACGGATTGTCCTCGTCAGCCCATTTGTCATCTCGCGAACCTGCCATATTGGAAGATCCATTGCCACCAAAAGCTTTGGACTGCCTTGCAAATCCCTCACAGAGTGAGCACCAGCAATAAGGTATTTTATTTGGCAGATTGTGCTGAAGCTTCAGCCACGTTCGCTGCCTCGTTCAACTCCCGCTTCAGCCGAGCTGTCTCATGCGAACTTGCATTCACTGCCAGCTGCTCGCTGATCACTTGCTGGGAGTCTTGTTCCATCACCTTCAGTGACCAGGATAACCCTGTACTGCCAGAGAACTTGCGAAAACAGGCCCATCAACATGAGAAAGTACAGTAACAAAAGAATTGGAATGCAAGGATAATCGGAGAATCATATCCGAATCATATATATCTCAACTGCAAGAGCAGCCCTCTAGTTTGGAGAGGGCAAGTTATCCAAGTCTGCGAATGAGACTTCCCACGATCCATCCCAATTCCTTCCCTCTACATTAGGTCGATCTCGGAAGCCACATGACTTGACAAAGCTGGGCTTTGAAGCTGGAGTGTGATGTACTGGGTTATGGCATGACCCCTCTACAATTGAAAAACAGCTGTGCATATCTGTGCATCTCTTCTACCTATACTGTACGCATGTGTAGATATGTATACGGTACGTACTGTATGCTGTGTGTTTGCATGTACGTGCAACTGTGTGCACATATCTGGTGTCATGCTGCTGTGGTCGTGCTCATACCACCAGCCCTCCCACCGTGAGCCACATCATAGGAGGCGATATGCGCCGAATGGGCGTTAGGTGCAGCCTTCTGAGATTCAAAATCCGCTCAGTCCCAATTCTGTCCCAAAATGTCCCAAAATGTACAGGTAGTCTGTCTGCCCTGAACTCGAATGTGGACATATGCTCTCCCCTGCCACATCAACGACCTGTACATAAACATGTGGACATACAGTATGTATGTAATCATATCATGTTTGCATGTATGTTCATGTGCGTGCGTTATATGTGCATGTTCGTCACAAGCTCTCGTCCGGCCTCCCTCAGTGCAAATCCCTCACAGGGTGAGGACGCAGCAAGGTATTTTGCAGATTGTGCTGAAGCTTCAGCCACGTTCGCTGCCTCCAAGCTGTCTCATGCGAACTTGCATTCACTCAACTATCCCTATCAATCATTACCTCAGCTCTAGAAACCAACAAAATTGAACTGAGATGGTATCAAAGATGGGTGATACACCAGACTGTTCCAACTCGTCGGGGAATGGATGATAGTGTGGAAAATAGTTGGGTGATTCTCTCACCAATCCACTCAATGGCAATCCCATTTACATAATCACGATGCAGTGAACTAAAGGGCCAGTAGTTGGTAGCTACTGACAAATGAGACAGCCGCGCGGCCCGGTGCATCCGCAAGTGGCCCTTGTATCAATGACGAGGTCCACTGAATTGTCACAAACGAAAGAGTTTCAACGCCTAGGCAACTTGGAGGCGAACCGCCTCCACCTCACCCGCTGCGTGCAGCGTATGGACTAAATCCAAACGGAAAATGAAAACTATATCTCTCTGCGGCACTTGGGGCATTTGCTGCCACTGCTCCGTGTGAACTCATCCCAACACGATGAGCACACGCAAACATGCCCACAGGGAACGAAGGCCTTGGATGGCTTAGCATCACGGCATATGACACACTGTGCCGAAGCTTCAGCCATGTTCACTGCCTCGTTCAACTCCCGCTTCAGCCGAGCTGTCTCATGCAGCAAACTTTCATTCACTGCCAGCTGCTCGCTGATCACTTGCTTGGAGTTTTGCTCCATCACCTTTGCTGTCTCGAGCATCTGGTTGGCCTCGCAGCGGGCCAATCCAAGCAATCCAACGCACCTTCAACTGAAATTCACCTGAAATGAGGATTTCCAAGTCATATACTGGAGAAAAAACATGAAATATCATGAAACATCAAACAAACCGAACAAGCTCATCAAGCCACATTACAGGGAGCCTCTTGCTGTCGGACTACTCCATCTCGCTCTTCCTCCTGCAAACGCTTCCGAAGATCCTCAGCCGTCTGCTCCAGCTTGGCATTCTCCCAATGCATGAAGCGAACCTGTCGCGTGGACAGGAACAAACTCAAGCTCCTAGCGGGTCCTACCTAGCAGAAAGCAACTGACGACAAGTTGTCGGAAGGGGCACGTGCAACCTCAAAACACAGCAGCATGATAAAGTCGACTTAAGGTGTTTATGCAATCTGTTGCATCTGTCTTATCATGAAGTCCTGAAATCAATGTTCACGCGTTCATGGGCAATGCTTGAACAAAACAGCAATGAAATGCGGCTGTCACCAACTCAAAAGCGCCTGCTGTGTAGCCGTTCGGACATCCAGAGCCTTCAGAATGCACATTTGCAATGATGGGCCAAACAGGTTCCACATCAAACAAAGTGTATGCACAGAATGACTTCAATGCAGCCTCAAAATGACCCGCCTAGGCAGTTAGAAACTCTTGGGCTGAAAGCTTTTCGTTGACGGGCTTGTTGAGCGTGCAGGATTCCGGGCACTTCCGGCAAATGATTTTGAACTGTGTGTTCTGAGGAAATTGGTCTGCAAGCATCTCGAGGTACCTTTTGCGGGCATGCCAACAGCTTCATCGACTTCGGGTGTCTGTTGTGTGATGCAGCGAGCAGATGAAGACCACGCTGCACAAACAATCTTTGCACGAAGGAAGACTGCACTTCTTCAAAGGAAAAAACATCTTTCAACTGTTTTGTTTGAAATACTGAATGTCATGCAGGAACATGGCTTCTTCAAAAATCACATTGAGGTTCGAACCTAAGTTCCCGGGACCAACACCATTCTCATACCCAAGCAGTGCAGCCATGCGAGGAACCTGCGCGTATCCTTCGCTCGGGTCACTCTTGATTTTTCTTTTTTTCTTGGCTGGGGTCCTGGGCAAGAACAGCAAATTCCCAACGAAAGGGAAGTTTCAATTGCAATCAACTCAGTGCTTTGCCCAAAGGAATCCCCCGTTGGAACAAAGTCTACTCGCAGGTTGAGATGGTTTGGCACGGGAACATCATGAAAAATCGGCATGACAAAAACGCATCTGATCTGAAAAAGGCGAGCTGGGGTGGGGTCGTCGCGCCTCGGGGTACCATCAGAACAATCCTTCTCCACGTGGTTCTTCAGACCCGCGGCGAGCATCACCAATCCGCAACGACATCGTTGATAAACTTGACCTGTCAGGCTCAGGGCTTTATGTCAGTCTTTATGTCATGCCAACAAAAGTCAAGTCCATAAATACACTCCTACATGGCACGAGCCCCGACCAGCCTACGAAGGCCATGTTGGCTGCACGGATCTGCTAAGGGTGGAACACTGCGGGCTTGAGCCCAAAGATGGGTGATACACCAGACTGTTCCAACTCGTCGGGGAATGGATGATAGTGTGGAAAATAGTTGGGTGATTCTCTCACCAATCCACTCAATGGCAATCTCATTTACATAATCACGATGCAGTGAACTAAAGGGCCAGTAGTTGGTAGATACTGACAAATGAGACAGCCGCGCGGCCCGGTGCATCCGCAAGTGGCCTTTGTATCAATGACGAGGTCCACTGAATTGTCACAAACGAAAGAGTTTCAACGCCGAGGCAACTTGGAGGCGAACCGCCTCCACCTCACCCGCTGCGTGCAGCGTATGGACTAAATCCAAACGGAAAATGAAAACTGTATCTCTCTGCGGCACTTGGGGCATTTGCTGCCACTGCTCCGTGTGAACTCATCCCAACACGATGAGCACACGCAAACATGCCCACAGGGAACGAAGGCCTTGGATGGCTTAGCATCACGGCATATGACACACTGTGCTGAAGCTTCAGCCATGTTCACTGCCTCGTTCAACTCCCGCTTCAGCCGAGCTGTCTCATGCAGCAAACTTTCATTCACTGCCAGCTGCTCGCTGATCACTTGCTTGGAGTTTTGCTCCATCACCTTTGCTGTCTCAAGCATCTGGTTGGCCTCGCAGCGGGCCAATCCAAGCAATCCAACGCACCTTCAACTGAAATTCACCTGAAATGAGGATTTCCAAGTCATATACTGGAGAAAAAACATGAAATATCATGAAACATCAAACAAACCGAACAAGCTCATCAATCCACATTACAGGGGGCCTCTTGCTGTCGGACTACTCCATCTCGCTCTTCCTCCTGCAAACGCTTCCGAAGATCCTCAGCCGTCTGCTCCAGCTTGGCATTCTCCCAATGCATGAAGCGAACCTGTCGCGTGGACAGGAACAAACTCAAGCTCCTAGCGGGTCCTACCTAGCAGAAAGCAACTGACGACAAGTTGTCGGAAGGGGCACGTGCAACCTCAAAACGCAGCAGCATGATAAAGTCGACTTAAGGTGTTTATGCAATCTGTTGCATCTGTCTTATCATGAAGTCCTGAAATCAATGTTCAAGCGTTCATGGGCAATGCTTGAACAGAACAGCAATGAAATGCGGCTGTCACCAACTCAAAAGCGCCTGCTGTGTAGCCGTTCGGACATCCAGAGCCTTCAGAATGCACATTTGCAATGATGGGCCAAACAGGTTCCACATCAAACAAAGTGTATGCACAGAATGACTTCAATGCAGCCTCAAAATGACCCGCCCAGGCAGTTAGAAACTCTTGGGCTGAAAGCTTTTCGTTGACGGGCTTGTTGAGCTTGCAGGATTCCGGGCACTTCCGGCAAATGATTTTGAACTGTGTGTTCTGAGGAAATTGGTCTGCAAGCATCTCGAGGTACCTTTTGCGGGCATGCCAACAGCTTCATCGACTTCGGGTGTCTGTTGTGTGATGCAGCGAGCAGATGAAGACCACGCTGCACAAACAATCTTTGCACGAAGGAAGACTGCACTTCTTCAAAGGAAAAAACATCTTTCAACTGTTTTGTTTGAAATACTGAATGTCATGCAGGAACATGGCTTCTTCAAAAATCACATTGAGGTTCGAACCTAAGTTCCCGGGACCAACACCATTCTCATACCCAAGCAGTGCAGCCATGCGAGGAACCTGCGCGTATCCTTCGCTCGGGTCACTCTTGATTTTTCTTTTTTTCTTGGCTGGGGTCCTGGGCAAGAACAGCAAATTCCCAACGAAAGGGAAGTTTCAATTGCAATCAACTCAGTGCTTTGCCCAAAGGAATCCCCCGTTGGAACAAAGTCTACTCGCAGGTTGAGATGGTTTGGCACGGGAACATCATGAAAAATCGGCATGACAAAAACGCATCTGATCTGAAAAAGGCGAGCTGGGGTGGGGTCGTCGCGCCTCGGGGTACCATCAGAACAATCCTTCTCCACGTGGTTCTTCAGACCCGCGGCGAGCATCACCAATCCGCAACGACATCGTTGATAAACTTGACCTGTCAGGCTCAGGGCTTTATGTCAGTCTTTATGTCATGCCAACAAAAGTCAAGTCCATAAATACACTCCTACATGGCACGAGCCCCGACCAGCCTACGAAGGCCATGTTGGCTGCACGGGCTTGCCCCATCCGCTGCCATTGCTGCAAGAACACCACAAAATTTGCACTCGTGACATGTGCTTTGACTTTTGGAAGGTCCTCCACGCCATGCTTGTGTCGTGGTGATAACTAGCGTGTTTTCATGACAAGGTGTGTCATCTTCTCTGCAGGGGCACATTCCGTCAACAGCTCTGCCTTACAGCCCCTGGAGAAGTGCTACAGTGCTGCTGCAGTTACAAGTCCAGCCGGAAAGAGCCCAAACTTAGGCTCGCCGCCTCACTACATAAGCAAGTCAAATCAAGCCATGGCCAGAGTCGACAAATTTTTAAATAACAGTGCGCAACCCGCCCTGCCATTCTGCCCTGCCGCCCCCTACTTCACGGAAGGCAGCTAGGGTGATCAGGTGCAAACTGCACAAATCTGAACCGTGCCTTCAGAGCACACTACAACACCAAGCCACACCGTCGTCACCACAAAGTCCTGGTCCTCGGGCCACCAGCAGCTGCGGCTAAGGCAAATCCGAAGTGTCGCGCCAGCACCACCTGGCACAAGGCAGCGCGTACAACAATGCACGTCAAAATATGTTCAAAGGCACCCGGTAACTAGGATAGCAGCCTCATTTTCACATTCTCATCTGCTCTATTCTCATGAGGCATCCAGAGTCAGGACTCCTTTTATAAAAGACTTTTCCACTAGAAAGTGAAATATACGATCAGTTCATTGCCATTTCAAGGTCAACCTTTGACATGAAAGACCTTGTTTCACACCATCAGCTTCGTTTCGGGTAGAGGGCAGAACCGGGCGGATCACAAATCATTTGGTTGTCATACTATGCCATACATGTTACATCATGTTACATCATTATCTTGTTCCATTGGGTTACTGGATGTTACAGGTCACTCGTCACTGGTTCGAGCCTGGCCTCGAGGTGAGTTTCACAGAGCCTCATTATTTGATTCTTGGGATTTTGTTTGCTTGACATATTTGACATGCGCATCTCAAAGTTTTTTCATGTTTTTTCTGTCTGTCAACCACACCCATCAGCTTTGTAATCAGCTATAAGCAACTTGCAGCGAACGTTATTGCGCCCCACTCCACCCCACCGTCGGCGTAGAGGAACAGAAACAAACGACAGACAGTTCCATGGCGGTGAAACATCAACCGCAAACCAGCTAGCAGCAGCTAGCAGCTAGGTATATAACTGAACATGCGGCAACCCTACGCAAAGCCAAGCGGTTGTAAGTCCAAGTTTCTGAGAGCTGTGCTTGGACTCTTTTTCGTGTGTGCCTTCGCAAAATATGTTGAGCGCAATTTGGATGATTCCTTGAATTGGGAATACTAAAATGGAAAGAAAAATGGATTACGGCTTATGTATTCGTTTTCAATTAGGCAATTCATTTGGGAAAATTCAAATGCAAAGAAAAGTGGATGACGGTTTATGTATCCGTGTGCAATTAGGCAATTCGTTTGGGAATACTGAAATGGAAAGAAAGTCCACTTATGTATTCGTTTTCAATTAGGCAATTCATTTGGGAAAACTAAAATGCAAAGAAAAGTCCACTTATGTATTCGTTTTCAATTGGGCAATTCATTTGGGAAAACTAAAATGCAAAGAAAAGTGGATTACGGCTTACGTATTCGTGTGCAATTAGGCAATTCGTTTGGGAATACTGAAATGGAAAGAAAGTCCACTTATGTATTCGTTTTCAATTAAGCAATTCATTTGGGAATACTAAATACAAAGAAAAGTCCACCTATGTATTCGTTTTTCAATTAGGTAATTCATTTGGGAATACATAGATTTGAAAAAAATCAGGTACCCCAGGCCAGTGTTTGGCCGCCGCATTATTTACGGCCTCTCAATGTTTGAGGGGGGGAAATACGATGTCAACATTTTATTGATCTTTATATTGTTTACAGGATTTTACAGGTGTTATTGTTTTATCCCAATGTTGCAGCACTAGGCACATGGGACAGAAAAAAATGTTTGACAGGTTAAACAACCTCAAAATGACAGCAATAGCGCTTGTTTTGCTTGAGCCATTGCAACACGGTAGTATAAGTGAAAAGGGAATGTATATACAGTGATACGTGTGAAAAACACCCCCCGCCGCCCCGCAGAGTTAACGGAGGACGGAGAGGCAAAACGAGCACGATCGCCAGAGGTGACCTGAGAGCGATCGGCATTACACAAGACATCACTGTTACCCTAACTACCGGCTGCAAGTTAGTCTCAGCTCTGCGGATGCATGAGGCAAATGAAAAAGGATATCGGGTGCATTCATTTTGGATCCATCTGCTGCATGTGTCGACAAAGCAAAAGCAACATCGGCCTGGCTTCCGCCAAGGCATAGGAGCATTACCACTCCTTTCAATGCCTTGGAAACTGGAAAGCTGCTGTATCAGGCTAATGTACACGGCTATATACACGCAAATTGTATGGATCGGATGCTGGTGTCAATCTCTTTTGAATCAATTGGGAAAAGTTTTTCAAGTTGAAATTTCAATTTGGAAATGCGTGCAATTCGATTGAACTGAATGACCATGTGTCAGCTTTCATCCAATCGGCCAAACCTTCCGGCAGGCATAAAATCATGGCACATGAGGTGAAACACCTACCAAGATTCATACTCTACCGTCCCATCATTGTAGGTGCGCTTGAAGTGCGGCTGGCCGTTGATCTCGCAGTACTCTTCTGCAATCACAAGTGGCATTCGCGGCACCTGTTGTGGTTGCTCCGTAGTTGGAGCTGATCCAGTGGCTGCCTGGGCAGAAGCGCCAGCAGTGGGGGCTGAATCAGGCACAGGCGTTGCTGTTGATGGTGGGTGCACCGGCTCTGGGGGCGCTGCTGAGGAACTTGATGCAGTAGATCTTCCCCAGGGATCAGCTGTCCAACCCTTGCCAGAGTAGCCCTGTCTCCAATTCCAGCTCTGCCATTGGGCCTGCCCTCCCGAGCGGCTTGAATAAGATCCATATGAATCCCATTGTTGCCGTCGGCTCCATCCACTGCGACACTCAAAGGATTTGTGGCCATACTGGCCGCACTTCCAGCACTCAATGGCCTGCTGAAAGATTGGACGTTGCTGTTGACCAAAACCCTTGCCTTTGCCCTTGGCCGGCTTCTGGATCGGGTCAAAGTGACGCCGGTATCCTTCTCGCCCTTCGCCAGTACCCGTCTTTGTGGATCTCGCCAATGGGAACTCAGCCACATCTGAGGCCGCGGCTTCTTCCACAAGGGAATGCTCCTCGCCCTTGACGTTGTAGAACTGCTCCTTCCATTGGCGCTTTGCAAAATCGACCAGGTCGAAGAAGCAATCCTGAGCAGATTGTTGATCAACAGGCATCATCGAGCCTGACCAACCAAACAACATCGGCGTGGGTTCCCCCCTCGCTTTCAGCAAGTCCGCAGCAAGAACGGCAAACTGAGGAAGTGTAAACACTCGAGCATGATGTGCCACCATTGCTTCTTTTGTGACATCCAGTGGAAGTCGGATATCTCTGTTGAAGTGTGGCATAAAAATTAAACGAGTGCTGACACCTGTTCCCAGCTGCTTTTCTCGCTTCTCTCGGGTACGGCCGACATCAGGGGCAATGCATTTTGCCAAGTCCTCCAAGAACTGGCAACAATCAGGAGTGATCTGGCCGACCGCATTGTTAAACAAATAGAATGGGTCCTTCTCCATGCGGTCCTGGATCGATTTGAAGCCGAGCTTTGTGTATCTTCCCGCATGGGTCTGAGCAGCGTCCTTGAGATTTCCGAAATTGCTTCGTCCAGCTCGACGTTGGTCTGCTCGTGTGCGGTCTGAAACTCGCTGAGCTCGAGGCTGCTTCTCAAAATCGATTTTGTCCAGAGAAAACACCTTGTTGGTCTTCTTGGCCGAGATTTCCATCCGGCATACCTCTGTTGCGATTCTCCCATCCGACCAAGCAATCAGCCATTTGAAGCATGACTGACACTTGTGAGTGCCCTCAATGTTCCTCTCGCCGCAGAAGTGGCATCGGATCTGTTGCATCTCAATTTTTGTGCTGTAGATGTAATCTTCAGCATTGGTTGAGCGCTGGGCCTGCCCTCCCGGGCGGCTTCCTTTCCCTTTGCCCTTTCCTCGGCCCTTGCCCTTGCGAATGGTCTCTGCATTTGACAAGGCACCAAAGGAGGCCATCTTCAACGTCAACTTGTCCTCAAAGGGTCCTGAAGTTCCTTCTCGTCGACGAAGAAGCGGGGGAAGCTCTTCCGGAGAATCCGTCACTTGCATCTCACCAGGTCGGATGGACTTGCCGCTCATGAGGTACGACTTCAAACTGTCTCTGGCGTTGGCATATGGGCTCTTCGACAATGCCTCTCTCTTCGGAGTGTCCTGGTCTCGATGGGTCTTCATCTTGGAGTTGTAGCCGACACGAGTGATCTCGTAGGGGCGGTTGACCCAGGCGAACTCCCGGTTGATGGAATCATATGTGCATATGATGTTTTCATTGGACACCCAGTCGGGACTAATGATCGCTTCGTCTGTGCGAAACAATCTGCAGCCGCTTTGGACGATGAGCTCGGTGTCAAAGGCAATATAATATTGCTTTCCGGCTCGCGTTCCCGCCAGCTTCTTTCCCCCAACTGAGTCATCCCACGGGTGTGACGCGATAAAGAAATTATGCGCCCTTCCCGTTCTTTGGGGCCAGCCACCTGGGATGAGACCATGCTCAACAATCTTTTCCATAGCGAGACGGTAGCAGCTATGGTAGATGACCCTTGGAAGTGCAGCCAACATCTCAGGCACCAGATCTGGACGAAGGTTGGTCCTGGGCAACTTGGGCGTGTCGAGGTCTTCCTTGGTAAAGGTTGGGTCCAAGGTAAACACTTGCTTCACCAGCGAGGAAATTTTTGCATTTTCCACGACGGCACGATTGTGTCCTTGGACAGCTCGGATAGCAACAACCTTCCATGGCAAACCCTTCCAGGTTGCATCAGGCAAGTCGGGCTGAGCCACTTTCACTTGAAAGCGCCTGGTGTCACTGTTGCGCACGATGGACAGGACCTCACTCACC